TGGAAATATCACTCCTTACTTTTTCTTTCAATAACAAGGTAATCAGTTATTTCTAGCCTACTTCCAAACAACATATAGCTAAATTTTGCAACTTGTTCCCTTTTCTAGTTTTTATAGCCTAGACATTTTCAAACCAAAACTTATTGAGAATTTAATGTTATCATTAGAATTTCTCTACCATAAAATATTATAATAAAGCACTTCTACTGTCAGTAACTTTCCTCAGATGACTAGACTTAAGATAATCCCTTTATACATTTGCTTTTTTAAAAATTCTGAATGCAGAAGTCAAAACCTCAAGTCTGTATGCAGTTCATACATAATATTATAAGTATGCTTTAATACCTAAGATTTTGATTTTGTCAAAAAATGGGTATCCAACAATTACATAGTATTTTGTAGCTAATGATATTTATACATAACATCTTTTAGTTACAAAACTGTATCCAGTGGATATTACTACACAGGTGTGAGAGTAATTTCACAGAGATGCTGGGTACAATTATCTACATTTAACAGAGAAGTGACATGAGGCCCCATAGAATGAAATGACTGCCGCAAAGTAGAACATTCATGAGGAGGCACTGCCAGGCCTCTGGTATTGCAAGTTTCTATAAGATACAGACTTTAATATAAATATATAATGAGCATTTAACTCATTAATGAGGGGACCAGCAGAATGATGAAGATGGTTCAAAGAAGGACATGAGAAGTTGATATACAGTCCAATGGGGAAAAAAGAATGCAGTAACAATACTGCACAGATAAGACACAAAACTAGAAAATGGCCAAGTGTGCTGGCAGACACCTATAATTCCAGCACTGTGGTAGGCTGAGGCAGGAGGACTGTAAGTTCGAGCCCAGCTTTGGTACTTCAGCAAGACAGTGTCTCAAATTTAAAAAAAAAAAAAAAAATTTAAGGGCTGGGGTATAGTTCAGTGTAAAGGCCCTAAGTTCAATCCCCGGCCCCCAAAAAACAAAAACCAAGTTGGATAATATACTACAAGGTAAGAGAACCCTAACTCTTGGAGTTACCTTTTTTACCAAGCAGAAGAAGTTTGAAATTTATTAATCTTTCCTGTTAACATCTAACTTCAGAGGGTCTGGGTACAATCACTAATATGTAGTAAGTCAAAGTCATCTCCCTCTACAACATAGGTCAGAAAACTTTCTGAGTGGGGCAAGATGACAAATAGTTTAGGCTTTCTATGTCTTATGGTCTCTGTCGGAGGAATCTAACTTTGCCTATAGAGGCAGCTATTGCCAGTATGTAATGAATGACCATGACTGTGTACCCATAACACTTAATTTACTGAAACAAAACAAAACAAAAACACACCCCCCCCCAAAAAAAAACAGGTGGTGGATAGATGTGTCCCAAAAGACACAGTTGATCAGCTCCCTATCCTAGAATATCTGATGATCCCTAGGTGACCCAGTTAGACATCTCTATGTACAACTCTGAAGGGACATGCACTAATATTTTTGCTTTATTTCCAAGTTTTAGGTAATTTCTCAAACACTATCTACATTTTTCAAATGATAAATCCCACCTTTCCTACCAAAGAGTTTGGCTGTCTCTCTGAGGCTCATTCAGTCTTTGGAGTTAAGAAACAAATGAGGCTCTACTAAAGAAAACTTTAAAAAATACCAAGAAAAGTATTTCTCAGTATTTTTAATCTTTCCTTGGTTTCTTGGGAAAAACATTCTGTAAACCACTCATCCCATTTCCACTGCCCAGAGGAATCTTAATCAGAGCCAAAGGGAAGTCTACTGCTGACAAGAAACCAGCAAGGGTGGTCAAAAATGTGTGATAACAGCCACTGTCAAGAGATGGAGGAACACTTAATCTGGAGGCATCGTCATGGAGCTACCACATGATTCTAGGGGATGCAGTCATGAAACACTTAAAGGACCTTCAGTCCTCATACTTCAGGACCCCTAACCTCCAATATTGAAACCAGCAGAAGGACTCACTGAAAGGTGTTTCATCCAAATTCTATTAAAGAATACAAAAATGAGTTCAACACAGTCCATTTTCAATACTGTGTAAATTAACTGATCTCATGAAAACATTCCTATGCATCCTGACTCCTGGAGTTAACTAGGCTGTAGGTTCAGTACACTAGCTTACATGGCACTTATGTAGCTCTATCCATAACCAGTGACAGCCACAGAGCCAAAGACTTAGATGCATGTTCCTTGTAGATTTTGATTAATACAAATATTTACTGCAGGCTAAATACAATGATAGACTCTAGAGTTATAAAACTGGACACAGTACAGTGCTTATTTTTACAAAGAAAAAATACTATTGTATCAGGAAAAAATGCTGGTGCAGTGAGTGCTACATATGCCTTATGTAGTAAATGCTCTACAGGACAGCCTGAGGCAGAACTTAGGATAGGTGAGAGTGGTCAACACTATTGTCTTAGTTCATTTTGTGCTGTTGTAACAGAATACCACACTCTAGGTAATTTATAAACAGACCTTTATTTGGCTCACAGTTCTGGAAGTTAGGAAGTCCAAGTTGAAACATGAAGAACAAGACAGAAGGAAGGGAAAAGGTCCAAACTTATCCTTTTATCAGGGACCCAATTACAAGACAAAGGCATTAATCCATTCATAAGGACAGAGCCCTCATGATCTAATCAGCTCCTAAAGATACTCTCAACATCGTTGCGTTGGGGATTGTTTTCAACGCATGAATTTTGGGTGACACATTCAAACCTCAGTAACTGCTGAGAACAAGCCAAGTGCTAATAATTTCAGAAAGAGACAGTAAACAAGGCAAACCAGACAGGCACAATGGCTTTGCTTACTTTTATATCAAATCAAGTTTAAAAATTAGATGGTAAATCATAGATAAGTGAATGAGTCAGAAGGAAAGAGGAATAAGATATCAGATGGTTTGTTACTAATAGATACTGCGTAAGTGATACCTCTATACTATAAAGATCTTTCCCGTTGACTCCTCTCAGAAGTTGCTTCTGGTAGATTTATCTTTTAACTCCTCAATTCTGTTCTATTAATTTATTTGCATCTGCTAGTATAATGCTTTCCTCTTGCCAGCTGGTTTTCTGATTTTTCAGTTTCTAGAAACTTATAAACAGAAGAAAATCTGATAAAAATAACTTGATATGTGATGTGCTGACACATTAAAGAATTCCTGTTGTTGCTTAACCAAGATCATATTTCTATTATTCATTATTTCTTTAATAGAAAACAGTTTATATGTAAAAGTTGAATGTCTTACTGTGGTCTACACTTAGTTTTATATACTATTTTTAGGAATGAACAAACAATGTATTATTTGTTTATTACAGAACACTATTTTATACTATAAATAAGAAAGCTACCTAACAGATTCTGATCCAAAACGTAGTTTATCACAAAATTTCAGGAAGCTTAAGGAAGGAAAAGCAATTAAAAGTTATAAAAAGGAAGAAAAAGATGAAAAAACATAGTCTAAGTTTCCCTTAGAAAACAATTTTTTAAGTGAAATATGATTGTTCAAATAAATGCCGAGTGACCACCAAGGATTACCATATGATATTTAAATACCTATTATGAAAACAGGAAAGAGGTCCTTTCAAGATAAAACTGAGATAATATTTTCATAGTGAAAGTTAGGAAAAGTTTAAGAAATTCCCTGAATAGTTCACTTTAAAAAGCTAATTTGGTAGCTCTAAATTATTTATTCAAGAATTACAGGTTGTGGTTTTATCTGTGAAAACCAAACATAATATTAAGTACTAGAATATAATACTTAAAATTACACAGAATACACACCAGAAGATGGCTTTCTTGATGCAGAACAACTTGGAAAGGTAAGCTGACATTACACAGTACTGAAAAGGAACCCACTATTTTCCCTTTCATTTAAATCAACTGTCAAGAAGAAAAATATTGGGAGTTATAGAATAAACAAGGCATCATAACAAAGATGACAGATCTTTTATAACATAATACAAAATGAAAAAGTAGCTCCTCTTTAAAAGCTTAAAACAGTTAAAAGACCAATATGCACAGGAAATAAAGGGCCAATAAGCTCACCTGAAAATAACCATTTCTGTTAATGAGTTCAAGACACATCTGCAAATTCTTCGATATCTCTCTTTCAAATAACAGGACAGACTTAGCACCTTACTTCAAATGAAAAGAATGGGTAGAAAAGAAACTGTATACCTTCCATAAAAATAACTCATCCTCTACCTAGAATGTACACTCGCTCTCAGAATGCTTTCCTTCAGAACCTAGCTACCACGTTGTATTGAAGCCCATGGCCATATGGAGACCACTGAGTTTTGTGATAATTTGTTTCACAGCAGTAGAAAAACCAATAGTAACATAGATTGCATATGTCTCAAATATGAAAGGATTTTTCTTTAAACTGGAAAAATAACTACAGAATATCCTCTAATAAGTTTAAAAGGTTTTATTTAAGTAATACAATGTCTTTAATTTGAGATTTTAAAAATCTGAAATCTGAGATAATTTACATTCTAAATTTTAGCAGGTTTTGGCTCTAAATTTTAGAGGGTTTTTATCATTAAAGTACTGTAGCTCTAGAAAGGAGTTTAAGTGATCTGTATAAGAAAACAATATTGGAGCTCATTAAGAAAATGAATTGTTATAAAGTACTTAAAAAGTATACAACACACTGTATGAAAAGCGTTCAATAGTTATTAAGTATTAAATGAACATCAGGCACCTCAAGTTCTGCCCAGTCACTTTTTACATACTGATTAGCTTAAATTCTTATTTGGCAAATTGGCTGGTTTGGTTTAAGCAAATTATGTGTGCATACCAGTATATATGTTTTCCCATGAGTCTCTGAGGACATTTCTTGTCTTCTTCATCTCTGTACCTCTAATGGGCTTAACACAATGTTGTACGTCAAGTATTATAATTGACCAATATTTATATAAATGATCAAACTGCAATAAAGTACTTGAAGCTAACCCAACTGTCTTATAATTATGCTTTTTCTAATTTTCTCTCCCTCACAATTCATCCAGGTTAGTTGGTATGCTCCAAAGAGCACACTATATAGTCTATTGTTTCACAAATTTATTTTCAACAAAGACAAGGATACAAATGTCTTCCATACATAACTAATACTCTGTGATGCTAAACCCACTCTCTCATGTTGGGATTCTGACACACTGCTATGCAGGCTGCACACACTTCATGAGAAAGAACAGTACTCCCCGGGCTATATGACGAAACACCTAGTTCATGTCCTCTGGCTCAAGATACAGGGACCTAATTCTTAAGATTTCTATTCTATTACAAGGCAGAAATTTGTAAATCAACATTATTTCAAAAGATTATAAAGAGAGACTATTGTGCTGAAAATAGAAAAAAAACAAGACATTTAAGTTTAGTTTATTCCTCTAGTTTAGTCAGAAAAGACATCAAACTTCTTTATAATGCCTATGTTCAGACTTACACTTCTCACTAAATCAAAAACTTAAGAAAATTTATTTATAAGTTTAATAGTGTCTGAAATTAAGGAACTAATATTCAATTAAGTGATTTTTCAATACACATTTACATAAATTAAGATACTCTTAATTTTTCTGACTTCAGTCTAAACAGAAAATTTACAGTAACAAGATGTAAATTCTAGTACAGATTTTCTGGTTATATGGCCCTAGGCAAGCCTCTTTAGATCTCTGCCACAAATCAAACAGGGGTAATATTACCTTTTCTTAACCTACTTTCTAAATAGGCAAACATAAGATTATGTGGTAATATTTTTCTAAAGTTGCTAAATACACATAAGATAAAATATATAAGGATTTATTATCATATCAACTATTTTCTAATATTTGACATATATTTTTATAATTTAACCAAAAGATCATACACATTCATACTACAAAATTCTTACATAAGCTAATTAAAATAGCAAAGCTAGTCATAATAATAAATGCATTCACCCATGTGCTCATTACATTAAAAGATAATTATAAAAAATAAGTAAAGTTTTGTGAACATATTTCATATTTGAACACCTTTCTTTTTATTGTAACTTAGGAACTCTTGCCCATGTCAACAGATTGTCTAGCATTAGCCACTGCCTCAGGTACTCGAACAGTCATATTGTCCATCGATTTGGTCAAATAGATTTGGCAGCCCAACCGTGACCTGTACAAGAAAGAGAGAAGAGATGGGTTCATATTAAGTGTGTACCATTCAAAGGCAATGCAGCTGTTTAGGATAGTTTCACAATTTCTTATACAAAGAAATTAGGGAATGGGTTAATGTTTTAAATTTTCATTAGGTTGAAACAGATCTAGTTATCCCCGTCAAATAGAGGGTAACAGAGGTAAATATGAAAAATAACCTAGTGTGCCAAAGCTTCTTTTAGCCTTTAGTTCTTACCATCTATTGATCCACCAGAACCATTACTTTTTGGTGCAAGAGCTGACAAGCAATGATGTAATCAGAGGGCACAGTAGTGGGCAATAGAACTAGCAAGGCCAAGAAAATGACTAATCAATTCCCAGATAATTAAAGCCATATAGACTATAAAAGAAAGCTAAACTTTTAAATGCCTTTCACACAAGAAATTTGGAATAAATACATACCTGAGGTATCAATTATATGAGTATATTTTTCCCACATCTTTAACATCTCTAAAATCAAGATTCATCTTAAAAACAATAGCATGTTATAATCACGGCTCAATGTGAAGTAGCAGTCAGGTGATAGCTGTGAATATTTATACAACTGTCTCTTCAATTAAGTTATGGGATGTTACTACCACATTTACTAAATTTAAGCATCTTCCAAAATAAATCCAAAAAGATTACAGAAAAAAATACAGAAACATAGCAGAGTACAAATTTAGTATTTATAATTAGAAGAATGACTATACTAACATTTCCTTTTCCCTTTTTTCATAGCATTCTACTACAAATTTATTTTTATTAGTACATATTTGCACTACATAATGTTTACATTCCTTGTGTGGAGCTGATACATGTATATAATACATCTTAATTCCCTTTTTCAAACCTTTTCCCTGCCTTCTCTCCATCTCTTGAACCCCTTTCCATTTGAGAAAGATTTATCTCCCTACTTCCTATCTTTTATTTTGCTCTTTATTTATACTTTTGGTTTCTCATATAAGAGAAACTATGCAATATTTAAGCTTGTCTGATTTCACGTAACATTACATTCTCAAAGTGCATCCATTTTCCTACAGATGACTCTAGTTTATCTTTCTTTATGACAGAATAGTACTGTACTATTTTATATACCCATTTATCTGTTAATGGATACACAGACTGCTTCTGAGATTTGGCTATTATAAACTGTGCTGCTATAAACGTGTATGCATGTATCACTATAATATAATGCCTAACTCTTTCAGGAAGATACCTAGAAGGGGAATAGCTGGGTCAAATGGAATTTCTACTTTTAGTTTTTTGACAAATCTCCATACTGATTTCCATACTGATTATACTAGTTTACATTCCCAACAATGTAGAAGGGTTCCCTTCTCCCAGTAGCATCGCCAGCATTTGTCATTATTTGATATCTTGATGGCTATTCTTTCTGGGGTAAGATGGAATCTCAGCATTGCTCTAACTTGCATTTCTCTAATGGCCAATCATGTTGAACATTTTTTTCGTGTATTTCAGTCATTTCATTACACTTGCCTATTTTTTGACTGGGTCTTTTATTTTTTCATTCTGTAGGTTACCTTTTCACGTTTTGGGGGGGAGGGGTGCACAGAGCCCTATTAATTTAATATGATCCTAGCCTTCATCTGTGACTTCCAAGAGTGTTGCCTATTTTATCTTTTAGCAAATTAAGTGTTGTATTTGTTTCAACATTTATATCTGTGATCCATTTTAATTTTAGTTTAGTACATGGTGAGAGACATGAGTCCAGATTCAATCTTCTGCACATGGATACCAGTTTTCCCAGCATCATTTATTAAAGAGGCTATCTTTCTTCCACTGTTCGCTTCTGGCACCTTTGTCAAAAATCAAATAGCTGAATTGCTTGGGGTTGTTTTCTGCATCCTCTATTCTGTTCCACTGATCCTCATGTCTGTTTTTGTACCAGTACAATGCTGTTTTTAATAAAGGTAGCTTTGTAATTTAACTTCAAGTTGAAGACTGTGATGCTTCCATTTTGTTTTTTTATTCAGGGTTGCTTTTGCTATTCTGGGACTTCTGGCTCCATATGAATTTTAGGGCTCTTTTCTCCAGTTCTGTGAGAATGCTATTGGTATTTTAATTGGGATTGCATTAAAATCTGTATATCAATTTTGGAAGTACAGTTATTTTTACTACATTGGTTCTGCCTATCCAGGAACAGGGGATAACTTTCCATTCTCTAATGTCCTCTTTGATTTCCTTTTTAAGAGTACCATAGTGATCACTGTAGAGGTCTTTCATTACCTCAGGTTAATTTCTAAGTATTTAATTTTTCTTGATGCTATTTTGAGTGGTATTTTTTCCCAATTTCTTTCTCAGTGGGTTCATTATTAGTGTAGAGAACCACCTGATTTTTGTGTTAATTTTGTATCCTGCTACATTACTGAAGGTGGTTATCAATTCTAAGAGTCTTTTGTGAATTTTGGGGGGTCTTCTATATAGAGGATGTGTTATCTGCAAATAACGATAATTTGACTTGCTTTACTATACATATCCCTTTTATTTCTTCTCTTACCTAATTGATTTGCTAATGTTTGGTACTAGTGCACATTCTTGTCTTGTTCCTGATTTAGAGGAAAAGTTTTCAGATTCCCCATGTAATATGATTTTGGCAGTAGGCTTGTCATACATGCCTTTTGTCAAATTGAGATAAAGTCCTTCTTTACCTATTTTCTTCAGTGTTTTCATCATAAAAAGATGTTGGATTTTGTCAAAGGCCTTTTCTTCGTCTATTGAGATGATCATGTGATTTTTGTCCTTGCTTCTGTTTATGTGACATATTACATTTATTGCCTTGTACAGGTTGAGCCATCCTGGCATCCTTGGGATGAAGCCTATTTGGTCACGATGTATGGTATTTTTGATGATTCGTTGTATTCTAGTTGCTTGTATCTTGTTGAGGATTTTTGCATCTACATTCATTAAAGAGATTGGTCTATAGTTTGTTTGGATTCTTGTCTGCTTTTGGAATCAGAGCAATGGCAGCTTCCAGGAATGACTTTGGAAATAGTCCTTCCCTTTCAATTTCATTAGCTTGAAAATATTGGTGTTAGATTTTCCCTGAGGATTTTGTAGAATTCAGCAGTGAATCTGTCTGGACCTGGGCTTTCCTTAGTTGTAGGCTTTTATTACTGCTTCAATTTCATTTCCTGTTGTTGGATTATTCAGGATGTTTAAATTTTCTTGGTTCAGTTTTGATAATTCATACATATCTATGAATCTATCAATTTTTTCTTGATTCTCCAATTTATTGGTGTATAAATTTGCAAAGTACTTTTTAAATCTTTTTGATTTTGGCAGTGTTCACTGTGATTTCACCCTTTTCATTTCTACTTGTATTGATTTGGATCTTTAAATCTTCTTTCCTTTTCTTGGTTAGACTGGATAAGGGTTTATTTTATTCTTCTGAAGAACTAACTTTTTTACTCATTGATTCTTTGGGTTTTTACTTTTAGTCTCAATTGCCTTCATATCTGCTCCAATCTTTGTAATCTCCTTCCTTGTACTAGCTTTGGGTTTGGATTATTCTTGTTTTTCTAGGACCATAAAGTGCATCATTAGGTTGTTTGGCTCTGTATTTGTGATGTGGGCATTCACAGCTATAAACTTCTCTCTTATTACTGCTTTCATTGTGTCCCATAAGTTCTGGTATGTTGTACTGGCATTGCCATCTAGTTCTAGCAACTATCTTATTTCTTCCTTGATTTCTTCTGTAATTTATTTGTTTAGCTAAGACTATATTGTTTAGTTTTCATGCATTTGCATAATTTGTTATACTGTTGATTTCTAGTTTTATTGCACTATGATCAGATAATATGCATGGTATAATTTCAAGTCTTTTACATGTACTTAACCTTGCTTTCTTGGCTACTATGTGATCTACTTTGGAGAAAGTTCCAAGTTCTGCTGAAAGGAATGTGTATTCTATTGTTGAGTGAAACACTGCAGATGTCTATTAAGACCATTTGTTCAAAGGCTTTGCTCAACTCTGATGCTTCTTTGTTGAATTTTTTGTCTAGCTGATCTATTTGTGATAGTGGAGTATTACAGTCCCCAACTATTACTGTGTTTATCTGACCTTTTATATCCAATAGTACTTGCTTTTTGAAGTTGGGCATGCTGTTCTTCAGTGCATATATGTTAATAACTGTTATCTCTTCCTGTTAGATTGTTCCCTTAACCAATATGTAGTGATCTTTGTTTCTTTTGACTGGTTTTGGCTTGAAATCCATTTTGTCTGACTACAGGATAGCTATACCTGCTTTTTTGTGTGTGTGTTCCTATTACATGAAATGATTGTTTTCCATCCTTTGATTTTTAGTCTATAAGTTTCTTTTTGGGTTAAATGTGTTTCTTATATACAGCATACCACTGTATTTTGTTTCTTGATCCATTCTGCCAATCTGTGTCATTTGAGTGGGGAACTGAGATCATTCACATTGAGAGATATTATTGACAGGCACTGACTTATTCCCGTCATTGCCTTATTTTTCCTGTTGCTGATTCCCTACCTTTCCATTCTATTTAACTGCTTAACCTACCTGATATATTCATTCTACTAGACCTTTTGTCATTGTTAGCTTCATTGTCCCCACAGATCAGCTCTGGGGGAGCTGGGAGTTTTGGGAGGCATTTTGTTGGCTTGTCTTTTCATGTTCTTTTGGGGTTGGGGGGGGTGCATGCACATACATGTGTGTGTGTGTGTGTGTGTGTGTGTGTGTGTGTGTGTGTGGGTTAAATACAGTGGAAAGCTTTCTTTCTAGTGTGCAGACCTCTTTAGTTAGGGTGTCTACTTTTCAGTGGTGTCCTCTGGGTGTGGTTAACTATTGGCCTTTGCCTCTGTCCCAGGATCCAACCACTTCTGTTTACTTGAGGTGAGAGATTGCAGTGGTTGGCCCAGTACCCAGTTTTCCAAGAATGAGCCACAATATTGTTAATGATCCCAAGGTAATCCAGATATTAGCACCTCAAGAAAACCAATTAATACCAACTATGGCACCTTGGCTATAGTAATAGAATCAGCATTAATTATAGCACCAAAGACAAACTGAATATTGACTAACCCTGAGAGCCAATAATGCATCAACCTTAACCATAGCAAAGAGATCTATAATTATAGTATAAACACTAAGAGAAACCAATATTGACCTACTAATGACTTACAGTAGATATCTACTAATCGGAACAACTTTACCTCTACTAACAACAGAACAATATTCAACAGTGATAGTGTAAAGTTAGGTGGCTATCTAGAGATTCGTAAAGCTTAGTTGTTATACTAGCAACACTACAGAGGTGGGGAACCAGAGAATGAAAAAAACTAAAATTTGAAAAATTAATGAGATGTGAGGAGGAGAGAAAAGTGAGGTAGGGTGTCCTATTGAGGAATAAAAAGTTTAAAAAGTCACAGAAAAGAATGAACAAGAAAATGAAGAAAAAAGCAAAACAGAGCAAAATATGGAAAATGAAGAAAGAAAAAAGTTGAAAGGGGAAAAAAAGGGTCAGGGATGTAGCTCAGTGGCACCGCACCTACCTAGCAAGCGCAAGGTTCTGAGTTCACTCCCTGGTACAAAAAAAAAAGAGAAAAAAGGACAGAAAAGAAACTAAGAGGGAAAACAAAAAAAATCCTAAGCCCCTAAAAATTAGAAAAATCAAAAAAAGATTGAATCAAAGAAAAAATTCCTCTGTGCTTTTAAATCAGTGTTTCTTTCCAGGATCTGGAATCTAACCAGTCATGATTCTCTCCACCTGCCTTTAGGACCTATGGGCTTTTCAGTTACCCTCCCTGCACAGTAAGCCCCTCTGTCCAGCTACCCCAGACTATGGTTACTGTCCAACAACTCCTTGCTCATGCTAGTAGATGGGAAATGTAATCAGCTCTCTGGTCTCTGCTAGATGTAGGCCATGGGGCAGAGATTCAAGTGGACTTTTGGACTTAACGTCGACCCTCGTGGCACCTGGTTGCTCCCTATGGAGAGCAAGGCAGATGTCCCTCCCAACCCAAGCATATACTTTTCAAGGCAGCCCCTGTCTGCCTTCCTGTCTCTCCACAGTGGCTCTCACATCTATCAGAACAGTGTCTCAAACCTCTACAGACAGCAAGGCTCCCTAGAGTTCATACTGTTAGTCCCACAATCCTCACATTCACACAAATCTGAAGTTATTTTCTCCATCACTCCTGCCGTATTTCCCTGACTGAAAATATTCAACAATACTGTATTTAGTTCTGAGGTATAGTTTTCAACTAAGAAAAGCAGCTTGAAATAGTGAAAGTCCAGGGTCTCTGCTCAGTGTAACTGGATTCAAATTAGGGCTCTAGCACCCACTCGATGGGTGGCTTTGAACAAATCTGGGATAGCTAAACCTTGTTTTCCCACCTATAAAAATAGTAATTCTGTAAAAATAATAATCTTTATTAAGTCCCTCGGCATTAAATAGTACCCAATATGTAAGTTGATACCACTGTAGTTGTAATGTTAACAACAACCGTTTAATGAATGACTTCTCCGCCATCCTAAAGAGCTTCACATATATTTATTCATTAACTCTACACAGCAATCCTATCAGGTAACTACTATGATTGTCCTCAGCTCATAGGTAAGAAATCTGATATCTTTGTATAGATTATCCATGAAAATAGGTAACAAGAAGCAGAGACAATCATCAAATGTAGATTCACAGATAATTTTTTGAATCTCCCTATCCATCGACTATCAATTCTACAAATAGTTGGTGGCCTCCTATTGTGAAATCAGGCACTAGAGATACAATGATGAAGGGAATGAAATAGGACCAGCATGGAAAGACCTTATGAGGCCATGTTTTACCTTAACAACTAAAGATATCTACTTTACTACACTTTTAAGTATATAAACTAAAAAGTTTACACATAGTTACTAGCTTTGAACACAACTCTTTCCATTCTAATTATGTCAAAATGCTTTGTAAGTGCTACAGGAAATCCACTGTACTTTCTTCACAAAGTATCTCTGCTAAAAATTCTATGTCCTTAAAAATACCAGCTATGAAACACTATAAAAGCTGTTTCTTGCTTTCCATTATGGCATTCTAAAACTTGGGGATCTTATAATCAATGTTCATGACTAGTTTATATTTATTTACTACAGGCATTTTATATCTTTCTATATTTGTCTCTTCTATAGTTCTTCCCTTTCCCTTTATTGCTTTTGCTTTTTGCTTTATAATACCATCTACTATATACACCTACAAATTTTATCAGAATAAAAAGGTAAGCCATTACCTATGAATGAATCCTCTTACTTAGGGATAAGATTCTGGGCTAAGAATATACCTTAGTGGTAAGTAGAGTGCTTCCCTAACCCTGGGTCCTAGGTTCAATCTCCAGCACTGCAAACATGAAACAGAAATACAAGAGACAGAATTCTCAGGATCAAACTAATGCAAACATTGGATGTATTCTTTAGGCAGTAATAAAAAGTGTTAGCAGAAAATGTGGCACTGAAAACGTGAAGGGGAGGGGAAGATGGCAGCCACAATCTGCTTTGCTTTGGTGTCTAGAGAAATACTATTTTGCCAGTATCACTTCTCAAGGTATTAGTTTCATCTCCATCAAGAGAAAAATGAGGACTGAGATGTACTTCAGTCACAAGAAACCTGCCTAGCATGCTCAAGTCCCTGGGTTACATTCTCAGCACCCTCCCCCCCAAAAAGGAGGGGAGATGAATTGTGAAAAGAACAAAATGACTCTTCATCTCTAAATACAAATGATGTAAAATTTTTATAAACATTAAATATGATAGTTTATTTTACATGTCTAATAAAATTGAGGTTATATAATAACACATTTGTGGTTGTTTAGAAAAATTACTTTTCCTTATAATCACCAAATTACAGATAAACAAAGTGCACCTTAATTAAGTAAATAAACCCTCTTATCCCTTGAAACACTAAAAAGCTATACTTTCCTTGACTCAACCAAACTAGATAATTTAAAACAAGATTATCACACAATGTCACCTACTATAAATCTTACCACATTTAAGAGTATCTCCACCTATTAAATAAGCTCTTATTAATTTACTTCAATGTATACTTAGAAAAAGAACTACTCATCTTAACATAATTACTATTACATGTAAACTTCTTTGAAAATTCTTACCTCTCAAACAGGTAAAATTTTCCACTATAATTCTGTTCAATTATCAAATCTGTCCTTCAAAAAATACTATAAAAAGTATTACATTTAATACCATCTGTTAAATTGTGATAAATATTAATTTCTGGAGTAATAATAGACTAAAGAAGATGTATTAGGATCTAGAACTTATACTTATAATACTTACAATTAATTTTTTCACTTTTGTAATAGGAAAGTTTCATAGGCACTAAACTGTGGAACAGTGAAAGAGAAATGCCACATATACGACACGCAAAATTTATAACTGTTCTTTAAACTAGAACACTACTGCACTTCCAGGTGTGGTTTAAACAGACACAAAGCAATAAATAGTGGGCATTCTCAGGGTATTAATACAACTGAAGCAGATCTTAAAATCTTACCTGTCTGTTAGTCCATAAGCCAGATCAAGCATATCATTCTCCTCATCAGTGATCGGATCTAACTTCTCATATATGTGATCTTCAAAGATGAGGTGGCAAGTAGGGCAAGCCAAGGTTCCCTCACAGGCACCTGCAAAAGCAGCAAACACTGAACATATCCCGCTACATTTCCATAGTCAAGACCCAAAGTTAAAATACTGCTAAAATTTAGAATTAGCATTATTAATAATAAATGATAAATGAAAGAACTTTAATAATGGTACAGCTTCCCCTTACACACACACACAGTGTTTGAAATCACTCGTACAGTATTTCACAAAGGTTCTGGACTAGGTTCTATGAAAAGAAACATGAAACATGCAGTTCTGATACCAAAGGCTTACAATTTTATAAGACGAAATATGATATATAAAAAAGTATATCTTTGAATATACATAGAAATAATTTATGTAACGGCCATGCAAGTTATTTACCTTTCCTGAAGAGTTTGACACAATTTATGAACACTTGTGTTATATGAGGAACTAGAAAGCAACTAAATCTATACCCAAATACCGTTAAATAGTCTTTCCTCTCAATCTCCCATGGTAATCAGGGCAGAATTTAAAGAAGTCATTTTAGTAGTCACCTTGATTTTAAATGAGGTAAGACTATTTCTCCTGTTCCATTTTTAAGTCATTAACAGTTACTTATTGAGTTCCTCATATGTGCAGAACACTGAAAAAGTCATCTTGTCCAACCAGACTATGATGGAATATCCCTCTGCAATATCCCTCTCCCAGGTCACGCGGCCTTTGCTTAGAAATCTCCAGATAAAGAAACCTATGCCATACAAGTTACCAATTTCACTCACCTGGCTTCCACCGTGCTAGAATCTGCCACTGTAACCTTCACATATTTTGTGAAACTGAACCTAAGCAATAACTTTCTGTCATATATGAGGCTATAAATCTTCTCCAGCCAAGAATACCCAACTCCTTCAAATTTTTCTTACACAACTCAGCTCCAAATCCAAATCCAAAGCCCAGCTAGCTGGGCTTTTCTTCAGATAGGGTATCATATTAGATATTGAATACACATTAGTACTTGAAGGAAAGGGACAATCGGTCATGCAGAATCAGGTTCTGACTAAATGCAACATTTAAAAGTTTTGGGGGGTTTTAAAATAATTTTTAAAAGCTACCATAGAATTCTAAAGACTAGCACATTAGGAGTAACTTCAGTTTTGGTTGCATTCCCTTTTGGTCAGTACATAAAATATGTAACAGAATTGTTAATAATAACTAGTAACCTTGATTTGCCTCTAGATGAATCATTTTAATAAGAGTTTTCATCTCATAATTTCAACACTTGTTATTCATATTATCTTTAAAAAGTAAACAAAGAAAAAGAGAGGTTTCCCTTAACCTTTTTTATTAAATCCAATTCGAAGCTGTAATAGGGTCATGGGAGACAGAGACCATCTAGGCAAGTACAGGAATTAGGAGCATGTTCTGGGGCTAGCTAGACTCCCTGGCTTCAACCATAGGTCCTCTGTTTATTAACCATGTCACACTAGACTACTGTACTCTTTGTGCCCCAGTTTCCTCAACAGTAACTATATCAAGCTTGCATGGCAGTTGCAAGAATTACCTATGAGTACCCAGTTACATATGTTCACATATGTAATGGCAACCATGACTGGTAGACAGTAAGCACTAAGTGTTGGTAATTATGAATATTTGGGAATTATAAGAAATCTTAATAATTCAAATTTCTTTTACACATAAAAATTTAACCCAAAAAGTTAAAGAAATGGATTAAGATCACACTACTAGTTACAATGAGTTGTGATTTTGGCTAAAGTTTCCAAATGAAGACTAGTTCTTGACATACAATAATATGAGTCACCTTATTAAACACACACACAAATACCTAAGTATGTTCTATATAAATTATAAATATATCCTGTGATTATACCAAGTTGCTTACTTTGATATTTTTGTGTAAACATGAATACTTCACACAAAAAAGGTAAATGGACGTAACTCTTAAAAGAGGGAAGGGTCTTCTTTACTGCAGTAAAAAGAGAACTGATGCAGTGGGGCCTTGAGGTCAAGGTCTGGGCTCTAGCTGAACCAACCCCACCACTATTAGCTGTTTAATTGGTGAGACTCAAGGCTTGGTCTTCTCATCTGCATAATGAAACAGTGAGGCAGGTTATCCCTAAAGTCCTAATGGCACTGTTATCTTCTGATATTACAAAAAGGAGTTATAGTTCTTAATGGATTTTTCCACTAGTATCTGAGAAGTATCAACTTGTCTTGATTTCTATTTTCATCTTGCCAATACCCAATCCAGACAAACTCCAAACTAAAATGGTAAGCCCCTCTGGAGATAATACAGAAAGAAAAACAATCAGATAATCCAATGTCTTTTGCCCTAAAAACAAAAATGTTAAATTTAACAATGCTTAGAAAATATTCCTAGTTAAACAAGTCTGGAGGATCATATGCCATGTGCAACAAAAAACGCAAGGAAAATAAAATTCCAGGCCAGGGGTGCTGCCGAGATGGATAGTGGCCCTCTACATAAGCAGCCTGAACTTGTTCTATCGGTCCATTATTCTCCATCTTGTTTCCTAACACACTGGTGAGTAACTCACACACTCAAGGAAGTCTTTCACACCGAGGTGCCATGGAAGTGATACTACCAAGGGGACTATGAACACTCATCCCTCCATTCCTCTTTTCCTGGATCTAGCCTTAAGGACAGTGATGGCTGTGAACAGGTGCTGTAAGTTTTGGAAAGTGAATAAAAGATTTAAGAAGGAAAGTAACATGGTACACTTCATTTTAGATAGATTCAAGAGGAACAACAGACAAACAAAAGCCATGGATTTCACCAAAGGAGAATGGAATAAAGTGGCAAGGAAAGGAGGTAAGGATAAGGACAGCCAAGGGCAGACCTCTCCTAGACAAGGGGAGTTAAAGTGCGCATGGTTGCTAAGGTAGAGAATCAAAAATGTGTAATGTCAGAAAGCCCCAGGGAAGAAAAATGTACATACAATGTACACCTTGGAATGGAAAAAAAGGGTTTATATGCCAATAATTCCCTCCTGAAAATTTTAGTATATTCATTTCTGTAGCACCTGGATGAAAGGAAGAATTACCATCCCTTTTACAGCCCTTCATGGACTTTAAATTCCACTCCACTCTCTTCCCCAGAAAATTTCAATTATTTTAACTTTCTTTTATAGGTATTACCTTTATTTTCCAAAAATTTTCGGGAGTCGACAATAACAAACCCAGCTGCGGTCGTGTCCGCTGCCCTGCCGAGCCCTCGGTGCTGCCTCGGGGTCCCACAGTTGCCCGGGCCCCTCGGCTCTGACCGGCCGCGGCCCCCTCACTCCCAGCCTCTTAGCAAGAGCCGAGGGGCCCGACCCCGTCCTCCGCCCCGACTGCTCCTTTCTACCCGTAGTTCGGGGCTGCAGCTGGCGCACCGGCGCCCGAACGCCGGCAATTGTGTCAGTCGGCGGTGTGGAATGGGCGGTTGGTAGCCGCTGCCAAAGACTAGGCGGCGGTGGAAGATGGTGCCTGGGGCCGCCGGCGGAGGAGGAGGCGCTGCCGGTTCTCCGAGTTTAACCAGTAATGCCATTCAGTTGCCAGTATTAAGCAAAGCAAACATAAGCCAGTTCTGATCTGCTTTTTAAGAAAAGTGGTAGTGCTTTTCACAGTGCCAGACGGAACTGTATCAGAAGGTGAGGCTTAAGCTCACAGAATCCAGAGAAATCATGAAGTTATATGTATTTCTGGTTAACATTGGAACTACTCTAACATTTGACACTGAACTTACAGTGCAAACTGTGGCAGACCTTAAACATGCCATTCAAAGCAAATACAAGGGTGCTATTCAGCATCAGGTGCTGGTGGTCAATGGAGGAGAATGCATGTCTGCAGATGGAAGAGTATGCACCTATAGCGCTGGGACGGACACAAATCCAATTTTTCTATTTAACAAAGAAATGATCTTATGTGATCATGCGCCTGATATTCCTAAAACTACATTTTCAACAGAAAATGACATGGAAATAAAAGTTGAAGAATCTCTTATGATGGCTGCAGTTTTTCACACTGTTGCTTCAAGGACACAACTTGCTGTGGAAATGTATGAAGTTGCCAAGAAACTTTGTTCTTTTTGTGAAGGTCTTGTCCATGATGAACATCTTCAACACCAAGGCTGGGCTGCAATCATGGCCAATCTGGAGGACTGTTCAAATTCATGTCAAAAGCTACTTTTCAAGTTTGAAAGTATTTATTCAAATTATCTGCAATCCATAGAAGACATCAAGTTAAAACTTACTCATTTAGGAACTGCGGTTTCAGTAATGGCCAAGATTCCATTGTTGGAGTGCCTAACCAGACACAGTTACAGGGAATGTTTGGGAAGACTGGATTCTTTAAATGAACTCGAAGGCTCAGAAAAGGCTGAGATGAAACAATCCACTGAACTGGTGCTCTCTCCTGATATGCCTAGAACAACTAATACATCCTTGTTAACCTCATTTCACAAGTCAGTGGAACATGTAGCCCCAGATACTACGGATGCTAAGAGTGGCAAAGAAATTAGGGAATCTAATCAAAGTACTGTACAGCAAGATGAAACTTCAGTAGATGCTAAAGACAGTGATCTACCTTTTTTTAATGTTTCTTTGTTAGACTGGATAAATGTTCAAGATAGACCTAATGATGTGGAATCTTTGGTCAGAAAGTGCTTTGATTCTATGAGCAGGCTTGATCCAAAGATTATCAGACCATTTATAGTAGAATGCCATCAAACTATTGCCAAACTTGATGATCAGAATATGAAAGCCATTAGAGGGCTTGAAGATCGGCTATATGCCCTGGACCAGATGACTGCCAGCTGTGGCCAGCTGGTGAATGAACAGAAAGAGCTCGCTCAGGGGTTTTTAGCTAATCAGATGAAAGCTGAAAATTTGAAGGATGCATCTGTATTACCTGATTTGTGCCTGAGTCATGCAAATCAGTTGATGATTATGTTGCAAAATCATAGAAAACTACTGGATATTAAACAGAAGTGTACCACTGCCAAACAAGAACTAGCAAATAATCTACATGTCAGATTGAAGGGTGTTGCTTTGTGATGCTTCATGCTGATCAAGATGGAGAAAAATTGCAAGCTTTACTCCGCCTCGTAATAGAGCTGTTAGAAAGAGTCAAAATTGTTGAAGCCCTTAGCACTGTTCCTCAGATGTATTGCTTAGCTGTTGTTGAGGTTGTAAGGAGAAAAATGTTCATTAAACACTACAGGGAGTGGGCTGGTGCTTTAGTCAAAGATGGAAAGCGATTATATGAAGCAGAAAAGTCTAAAAGGGAATCCTTTGGGAAAGTATTTAAAAATTCCTTTTTAAGAAATCGTCTATTTAGGGGACTGGACTCCTGGCCACCTTCCTTTTGTACTCAGAAGCCTCGAAAGTTTGACTGTAAACTTCCAGATATTTCATTAAAAGATTTACAGTTTCTGCAATCATTTTGTCCTTCTGAAGTTCAGCCATTCCTCAGGGTTCCCTTACTTTTTGACTTTCAACCTCTACACCAGCATGTACTTGCCCTACAAAATTTGGTAAAAGCAGCACAAAGTTTGGATGAAATGTCGCAGACCATTATAGATCTCCTGAATGAACAAAAGGCATCCATGAGTCAAGCATCCCCTCAGTCAGCTTCTTCCCCAAGGAAAGAAAATGCAGCAGGAATTACAACTACTACCTCGCCAAGAACTCCCCCTCCACTCATTGTTCAGGGTCCCTTGTGTCCTGCAGTTTGTCCCTTAGAAGAATTATCTCCAGATAGCATTGATGCACATACATTTGATTTTGAAACTATACCCCATCCAAACACTGAATAAACTATTCACCAAGTTTCTTTAGACTTAGATTCATTAGCAGAAAGTCCTGAGTCAGATTTTATGTCTGCTGTGAATGAGTTTGTGATAGAAGAAAATTTATCATCTCCTAATCCTGTAAGTGATCCCCAAAGTCCAGAAATGATGGTGGAATTACTTTATTCATCAGTTATCAATGCGATAGATAGCAGACGTATGCAAGATACAAATACATGTGGTAAAGAGGATTTTGGAGATCATGCTTCTCTGAGTGTCCAGTTGGAAAAATGTAGAGTTGTTGCCCAAGATTCTCATTTCAGTATACAAACCATTAAGGAAGATCTTTGCCATTTCAAAACATTTGTACAAAAAGAACAATGTGGCTTCTCAAATTCTTCAAAATGTAGAGATAGAAATAAGAAGCATTATTAAAAAAGTAAAATGTTCCCTGGAAATAACACTAAAAGAAAAGCATCAAAAAGAACTACAGTCTTTGAAAACTGAATATGAAGGTAAAAATCAATGTATTAATTAAGGAGAGTGAAGAAAATGAAAACAAAATTAAAAAATTGAAAGGAGACTTGGTATACCTTGAGGAAGTATTACAAAATAAAGATAATGAATTTGCTTTGGTTAAACATGAAAAAGAAGCTGTCATCTGCCTGCAGAATGAAAAGGATCAGAAGTTGTTGGAGATGGAAAACATAATGCATACTCAATATTGCGAAATTAGCGAACTGAAGCAGTCACGAGAGGTTGTGTTAGAAGACTTAAAAAAGCTTCATGTTGAAAATGATGAGAAGATCGAGTTATTGAGGGCAGAACTTCAGTGTTTAGAGCAAAGCCACCTAAAGGAATTAGAGGACACATTGCATGTCAGGCACACACGGGAGTTTGAGAAAGTTATGACAGACCACACAATTTCTTTGGAGAAATTAAAACAGGAAAATCAACAAAGAATTGATCAGCTACAAGAATCTCAGGCCATAGCTATCCATGAAAAAGAACAGCAGCTGCAGGAATTAAAACTCAAGGTTTCTGATTTGTCAGACATGAGGTGTAAGTTAGAGGTTGAGCTTGCATTGAAGGAAGCAGAAACTGATGAAATAAAAATGTTGCTGGAAGAAAGCAGAATGCAGCAGAAAGAAACATTGAAATCTCTTCTTGAAAAAGAAATGGAGAACCTGAGAACAGAGATAAGTCAATTAAACCAAAAGATTCACGATAATAATGAAAATTATCAGGTGGGCTTAAGCAGAGCTAAGAATTTTAATGACAATTAAAAAGGATCAGTGCATTTCAGAGTTAATTAGTAGACACGAAGAAGAATCCAGCATACTTAAAGCTGAATGAGACAGAGTAACATCTTTGCATCACCAAACATTTGAAATAGAAAAAAACTTAAAAGAACAAATAGTTGAACTGCAGAATAAACTGGATTCAGAATTGTGTGTTCTTGAAAAACAAAAAGATGAAAAAAATCACCCAACAAGAAGAGAAATATGAAGCAATTATACAGAACTTTGAGGAGGACAAAGAGAAATTGGTTATGAGCCATGAGCAAGAGAGAGAACAGTTAATTCAGAACCTTAATTGTGAAAAAGATGAAGCTATTCAGACTG